GGATCTCCCTCCTCAGGCAAATTTATTGGCAGGAACAGCAAGAAGGAGATGTGCTCAGGAAATGACTAGAGCCTGGAAGGAGGAAGATAGTATCCTCAGATAAAATGTTTGGAACACTTCGGGTCTGAACATCAATGACCCACCAGATCTGGTTACTTCCAGGTTGTAAAAATTATCCCACCCCCAGTCAACAAACACTCTCTGGGACACATTTCATCAAACACTAATTTTTCCATAATAGCCTTTAATACTAAAATGCATTAAATTTTTGAAGCAGAGAAAACACATTTAAAGGGGAAACAGAGAACCACCAGATAAAAGGAAACAATATGATAGATAACATCATTTAAAACATAACTGTAATAATTTAATAAAGCTGCTTTATCATCTTCATAAAATAGACAGTGGTGATTCATTTTTGTCTTTTTACAATGATTCAATCAGTGTGAAAATGTACATAACATACAGATCAGCATATACAACCATTTCATCTTCATATACTCAGCAACAGAGACTGCTTAATAAGACATACTGTATTTGCATCCCTCTAAATTTCCACCCTGGTTTGACAGGTAAACAGTAATAGTGTCATCAGGCTCATTCCCCTCACTAGAGGAGCAAAAGCATAAGCCTTTTGCAACTAATACCTTAGCATTCAAATAGCACAAGGAGGTATGTGTTGCTGAATTTTTAGCTTGAGCTAGTCTGGCTCTTGGTCATTAAAGTCAATAGCCTATCCTTCCTCAGCTGAATGCCAGCCAGTGCCAGTAAAAATCTACTTACCCAGTGCTGTAATGGTGTTAGCTGGTTTGTTTGCTAAGGTTGACAGCAACTTTCATTTAGTAACAAAGTCATCTTTAATTGCCAACACAGCTGGAGCAACAGTCAGCATCATCAGTTCTCCCTAATGACCTACAATGCTTTCCGATCAAGATCAGGTATTTGTGAGTTGTTCTGTACCAAGAGCGCATTACAATATATATACTTCAGACAAGGTGGTTGATTTTCTTTGTTTTACAAATGCAATATGATTCCTACTTGAAATTAATTCACTTTTGCACAACAAGTGACCCACAGGCCAATTCCAGATTCACAAAAAGAGAGAGAGAGAAAGAGAGAGAGAGAGAGAGAGCAGAGAGACAGAGAGAGACAGAGACAGAGAGAGAGAGCTGCAACAACTTCATTAGGACAATGTGTTTTGCTCTGGAATATTTCATTATCAATATAAAACCACCCAGTCCCAGCCCCACCCCCACACATCCCCTTTGAATATTACTTTGTTACATACTTAAACTAAAGAACAATATCTCAATACACTTCAGTGTCAGCAGATACAATTTGACTCATGAAATGACAGCTTTAAATGTAATTTTACCAAGAAGGCAAACACTAGGACTGTATACAATGGACTTTTTAAGCTCATATTATGCCAGTTTTTTCAAAGTCAGGAGGGGTCTTGTTACCCTGGGTAAAAGGCCAAGTGGACCAGACATGTCAAAATGCCTTGGGGGAACATTCAACATCAAAATGATCCCCATAAAGTGAAAATCCAGCCAGAACTGCTAATATGTACAAGAATAATCCTTTTCCCACCCTGGATGCCCAATGGAGCCATCCCCTTCACCCCTGCCTCTCTACAAACTGCCCCTTGTCTTTGCTGCTTCAAGTGGACCACTTTTGTTTTGCTTTTTAATGATATGCTAGCTCTGTAAGAAAAGTTCAACTGAATTCTTCTTGTACAATCATTCAGTCATATGTTGAAGTGACACTATTGGGAAGATACTCTGATCTTCAGAGTTCTTAAATGATCATTATTTTAACACTTTTTACTAGTGATCAGTGTGTTACCACATCAACAAATCTGTGTAAATGGCCCCCTTAGATGCAGTGAGCCAATTAGGCAATTTTCCTCTGGAGCAGCCACACTCAGTGTTGCCTATAAGCAACTGTTAATTGCTATATATGAAGAGTCAGATTTTACCACAGGCCAAATGAATCAGAAACTTCATGGGCAGGGCCCTATTAACCTATCTTAAACAAACCTTAACCTTTTGTGAGCATCTGATTCTGAAGGATTGGTGGACCAAATCTCACGGGTTTCAGCTTCAGTTGCTGTAGATAGGACAGAAAATTAGCATTTCTAAGAAGTTCCCATTAAGATGTGGTTGCTCTTGCTCAAAGGATTACATTTGCAGAACCATAGCTCTGCAAGAACTGCAGGATCCCTTAGTGCCCTACTCATTTCAGGAAAAAGATGAACAATAATTTAATATACTGGTTTTAGAGAAAGGGATGTTAAGGTTCATTCTGAACAGGTTCATAGACTAGTCCACATAAGGAAAAAGAAAAAGAGATTCCACAAACATTGAGACGTTTGATTCCCTAGTCCTTCCCATATTGTGGAGAAAGCAATCAATCAAAGCTAAGCAGACTCTTTACATTGCATGAAGTTTACCTGCCCAGGGAATTGCTGAAAACAGTTGGTAGCAAAAGCATGTCACACTTCAAAACCAAGGGATATCAGAATCAATGGAATAGAACTCCCTAGGACTTAGGAATCAAAATTGTTCCCTCATTTTAAGAGTGTAGCATGTTTTCAGAAAGAAATGGAAGAATATTTGGCCCTTCGGCCCTTGTAGCTTTTCATCAGGTATGTTTGAAAGAAGGAGGAAAATGATTAGTCAAAGGGAAATGTAGGATCTTTGCACAAAATTCCTATTTGCAGGCACAGTCTGCCTGTAAAACCAGCTTATAAAGCCCTCCTAGGATGCACTTACACTTCTGGAAGGATGCATACATCAGACAATTGTAGGGGGGGAGAGGTATTTTCTTAATGAGAGAAATTCTATGAACATGCTCAATAAAGGGTTTAGAAGCCAAAAAATTTCTCTGACTATCCACTGAGAACAGAGAACAAAGTCTTTGGATAGGGAAAAAGAATGTGTCTATAACTTGAAACTGAATTCTGGAGAAATGAAGAAAGAAACAATAAAAGAGCAAGAATCAATGCTATTGCTACTCTAACCATTTTAAACCAATTGGAAAAGAGGTGTGGAAGCAAGCAGCCTCTCACTCAAAAGCCACATAACATTTGCTGTTCTCACTTTTCACAATCTTTTCAGCTCCTTCACTTCTACTCCCATTGAGCATACTAAGAAATATACCTAAAGAAAACTCAAATCTGACTTCCAAGTGACCTTGCAGCAGTAGATAATAACATAACATCAGGATGGATCAGGGTGGTGAGCATTCTATAGGCAGCCATCATAACTAAAAGGGGATTTTAAAAAAATTAGTGCATTAATCAAATAGTCACAAAAAGAAATAAATACCTAATTCATAATCTACTATAGAAACAAAATAGGGTATAAGAGAATGAAATGGGGCACAATGAAGGTGGTACAATAATTGAACTCTAATTGTGTCAGTTTCAGAGGGAAATTTGTAGCCATAGCAATATTTTTCATGAGGTCATATTCAGCACTGAATAAGAAATAAGGATGGATTTGTAGCTTCATTATAGGCTATTTTTTAGAAATGTTCTCCCCTAACTAACCCTAACACAAATATCTCGTCTACCACTCCCTTTAGGCCCTTCCCCTTCCCAAAAGAAAACATTGATAGTAATATATAAAGCTAGGAACTCAGGGAAAAATGACTCAAAACATTTTAAAGAACTGACCTTATCTACCTAAACTTAAGAAAATAAATTCTCTTCTACATTCAAGAGCTCTTCCTGTAGGCCTTCTTTCCCGGCATTGTTAAATTAAAAAAAAAAGAGAACAAAACCATACATCTTGTTTCTCTAGAAACTACTTGTTTAAGACAAAGGCAGAGCAAAGGTGACATATTTTCTTTAGTTTTAAATAATGAACTCTTAGGCTGCAAGAATGCTATGGTGGCTAGTGAATATTAGTAGATAGACAATAAGTGTGGGGAATTAGAACAATATTAAAACAAAAAAAGAATGTGCAGGTTTTTTTAATTTATAAAGTTGTATTCCTATCCTACATAGCAAAGAGTTAGCTAAATCTAAAGGAGTTTTGTTTTAATAGTTTCTTGTTCATATTTTTAATCAAAAAAATGTTAGTCATAAAAAGATGAGTTCAAGTGTCCAAGTGTCTCCATTTAGAAGGCACAGTAATTGGATTAGTAATGCTGTTACCTGTTACCTGTCTTTTCCTAAGTGTATACTTTGTACTGCTTACTCTATTCCTACAGATAAGTCTAAGATACAGAGCAACATGGAGTTCTCCATCCCAGTCCATGACGTGCCTTACAATCTAAGTCAAACCATGATTGGGAATCACTGAATCAGGAAGTGTGTTTAAAGAGATGTTAATTTCGATCTCAAAATAGTTTCAGTCATTTTGAGTTTTAGATGATTGGATACAGGAAATTTCTAAGCCTGGAAACTGATAACTTCAAGAGCAAGTTTCCTGTTCAGGGCTTGAAAATTAGAAAAATGGATCTCATAAAACTTTCAACACAGTATTTCTGACAACTGCAAATTAGACAGCATGTCCAAAAATGACTTTCATGGACCTGGGCAGAAGACTGAAAGGCAGGAAAAATACTTTGCAAAGTGCTGAGCAATCACTACCTGGGTTAAAAAACGTGAGTATCCTCCAAGTACTCAATCTATATGTGTGGTGTTGCTCATTCATTTGCTGTCTCAGTTGTTTGCGCTTTGTTTTTGTCTGTATTTTTATTATTTTTTAAGAAAAATACACACCCACCTTTAAAAGCCTTTTGCCATCACCACACACAGAGCAATATCAAATACAACAATAGCACAGCTAGCAAAAGGGTTTTTAAAGCAGGGGTGTCCACAGCAAAGTAGCGGCATTGGAAAGTACTCAAGCTTCAGAAACAACCTTTTGGGGCTCGATTTCACATCACTGAATCAATGAATAGTACACAATAAATGACCATTAACTTGTCTACACTACAAAAAAACGTGGTGAGCTTATTAGAGGTGTCCAGAGCTTTTTAATTTTTTTTTGCTTTTTTAAAATGTAATCTTCCACAAACAATGGTAATTTATATTATAATTTTGACATAGAAAAATATATAAATTCAAACACTTAATACATAATACTTTTCACAACTGAATTTGTCTCTGTTTCCCCAACATCAAGGCCCCATGAACAACTCAAGCCAAAGCTAATTTGCTCCAACTGAACACCCCTGCTGCCTGTTGAAACGAGAGGGATTGTCACAGAATGATAGTCATTTATAAACAATACATTTAGGAAAGCTCTGAAATACAGCCACCCAAGAACCAACCATTGGTGAGCAATTAAAATAAGCAGCTCCAGCAGCTCCTCTAGCCAACGTGGTTTCTTTTCCTTCCCAGAGCCTGATTATAGGACGATATCCTTCAGACGCTTCACGCCAGGGGACTCTTTGTCGCGACCCTCCTTCAGAACAGGATTGATCTCTTGCATTGCTTTCTCGCTGTCAGCTCCACGGGGCTCAGCTTCAGAAGGACGGGAAGGACCATTGTTGACATTGTTGACATACTGCTCCAGATCACGGGCCTGGGGAGCCAGAGCTAAGGTGTAAGACATGGAAGGCTTGGTGGGCAGTGGGCTCTTGAGGTGGAGGGGGGAGGTGACTGGGCTAATAGCCTCACAGCCATTGCCCGCCTCCCGGATAGCGCCATTGACCTTTGGGCTACAGATGGTCACATCAACAGTCCTCTTGCCTTTTAGGGTGGGCCTCTCTTCAGCCGGGTGATCATTGACATCCTTCCCAAAGGTTGCAAAAGTCCTCTTGGTAGGGCCGCAGTCGTCATAAGCCTCGACATCAGCAGCAGTAGCTTCAATGGACAGGGCGATGATGTTCCTCACATGCTCAGGGGACTTGGAGCGGGTGGGCATGGGATTCCGGGGCATCCAACATCTGTCAGAGTGGCCAAGTATCCGGCATTCTTCCCTGCAATGAAAGCCTTCATTCTGATCTGTTGGGAGAAAAGAAAATGTCAATTTCACCAGCTTTTCCCAGCAACTATTGCTACTCCCAAGTGTTTTGGTTTCTTAGCTATTCACAGACTCTCATGGGAAATAACACTTTTAGATAGACCTTTATCACCTTTTGGGACAAGTGTTAAAAATTGGATTTTTTTTTTGTCGGTTGTGGGGCCTGAACTCGGCCTGTGCAGTGTCCCTCAGCTCTTCAGCTCAAGGCCAGTACTCTACCACTTGAGCCACAGTGCCACTTCCGGCTTTTTCTGTTTATGTGGTGTTGAGGAATCAAATCCAGGGCCTCATGCATGCAAGGCAAGCACTCTACCACTGACCACCTTCCCAGCCCCAAGAATTGGATTTTTTAAGGCCATAGATCTCCCCCTATATATTCTTCTTTATTGTTGTTGCTGTTTCCACTGCTGACAAAACAAAAAACCCAAATGGAAACACATTTATGATGAAAAAATATTTTTAAAAAAAGTTTGTCCTGACGGTTAAGGTGCTGAGAGTCAGCATTTCATCAACACCTCTTGTGAAAAATCACCTGTGATTGAAACTGGATTCAGCAGAGAGGGAGTGGAGGCTGGGAAAGGGAACCCAACAGTAAGTATGTATAAGCCCTGGCTATATATTGAGTAACAGCACTTCCAACTCCCCTGCTATCCTTCCTTTCACTGATACACAATCCTTAATTTCAATTTAGGTTACTTCTTATATTCTCTTTGAAAAGTCAATCATATCTTTTTTTGTAGGTCCAGGCTGGCTTTGAACCACGATCCTCAGATCTCAGCCTCCTGAGTAGCTAGGATTATAGGCATGAGCCACTGGCACCCGGCTAATCATATCATTTTTTTAACTCCTCTCCCCCTGCAAGCTCCTCACTCTGCTGTTTCAGAAGGAACATACTGCTATTCTTTTCTTCCAGCTAACTCACAGGCTTCACTTGGCCCTATGCAAACATCACTGATATGTTAGGCATCAGTTAATAAGAACCCACTAGCCATCCCTCCTTATATTTTATCTGCAGTTTTATAAGGCACATATTTCTTAAAGAAATATACACCACTCAACAAGAAATGTACTCATTACCTTACTCATGTAACTGCAGTGCTTCTGTACAGCATCTTTACAATAAAATAAAATTAAAAAAAATAAAAACACATGTGCAAAAATAAAAAGTATACACTGCTGATAGGAATATGTTAACACAATCATTACCCCAAAAATCATACAAGTTCCTCAATATCTAAAAATAGATCAAGTTCATAATCCAGTAATCTCATTTCTGGGTAGATATTGAAAAGAAAACCAGCATTTCAACGAGATCCCTATATGACCATGTGTATTGTATTGTAGCACTGCTCACATTAGCTAAGATATGAAGTCAAGGTGCCCGTCAACAGGTGAATGAATAACAAAAATATAACACACATGCACAATGGGATGTTAGCTATAAACAAGAATGAAATCCTGTCATTTGAGGCAAGATGGATGAAACTGTTGAAAATGTGTTAGTAAAACAATCCAAGCACAGAAAGACAAGCACCATACATTGTCTTTCCTATGTAAAAGCTACATAAATTGATCTCAAAGTAGAATAGAATAGAATAATAGTCACTAAGAGTTAGGGTGGGGGGTAAAGGTTAGTTAGAGGAAAATTGTATAATGGGTACCAAAACAGAGATATATCAAAAGAATGAGTTGTAGTATTGCACGGCACAGTAGGGTGACCGTTATATATTTTACAAGAGCTAAAAGAGGGAAGACAGAAGGAAACAGGAAGTGAAAAGTAAGTGGAACTTTTATTTATTCTGATTTAATCAGCATATGCTGTATGCAAGTATAGAAATATACTTGTAAAACCAGGCACCAATACTCATGTGTGTACATGTAGCTACTTAAGAGGCTGAGATATGAAGATTTCCGTTCAAAGCCAGCCCAGACAGGAAAGTCTGTGAGACTTTTATCTGCAATTAACCACCAGAAAACTGTAAGTCATCTTGTGGCTGAAAGTGGTAGAACACTAGTCTTGATCAAAAAAGTTAGGAGATAGCACCAAAGCCCTAAGTTCAAGCCCCACATCCTACCAAAAAAAGAAACGAAATATACTTAAGTACCCTACAAACAGGTAAAATTAATGGCATGTGCATTGAAATTTTTATATTTACTTTATTTTATTTTTTATTATTTTTTGGGTCCTGAACTCTGGGCCTGGGCACTGTCCCTCAGCTCTTCAGCTCAAGGCTAGCGCTCTACCACTTGAGCCACAGCACCACTTCCCGCTTTTTTCTTTTTGCTTATGTGGTGCTGAGGAATCAAACCCAGGGCCTCATGCATGCAAGGCAAGCACTCTACCACTGAGCCATCCTCCCAGCCCCATTGAAAATTTTTTAATGTTTCATGGATTACTAAAACCCTATCATAGAAGACCTCAGAACTTAGAATTCATAATTATTGGGGTGACTTATATTTGACATTCCAAGTCAGGTACAATAAGGCTTTATCTCTCAGCGGGGCTTTTGACCCAGATTATTATTATTATTACTATTATGGGTTCAGGGTTAACTCCTGTTAGTTCACTGTAAAAACCGTTCATTCCAATGTGTTATTTAAAGTCCTAGTTTTTGCAGATCTATTTATATGCATGTTACTTTGTTGCATGAAAATAATTTTTCATCACACTACACAATGCGCACAAAGCATCAAAATATATGCAGTTTAACAGTTAAAGGAAACCTTGTGGCAGGGTTGGAGTGGCTGGGAAGACTAGGAAAGATTACAAAGACAAAAAGGTATATATGTGAATATATATACATATATGTTTGTATATATATATGTGTGTGTGTGTATGTGTATATATATACATATATATGGAATGGAAAGAGAGAGAGAGAGAGAGACAGAGAGAGACAGAGAGAGAGACTAAGCCAGAAATGTTGGAAGTATATGCTGTGACTGCTTTTTTCAAGGGCACGAATCCTGAATTTCAGAGTCTTGCTCGAAAACAGTCTATATATAAAACATTCTTGGCTTAGGTAGCTATATTTCTATTTTTTGTTTTCTACTTGTTCATTGATTGTTTTGAAGGATTAAATGGAATAGAATAACAAAGTCCTGTTTGCCCCATTAACTGGAGGATCCTTTGAAGGGGCACAAGGGAGAGGGCTTAAAGAATCATGACTGAATTGATTATGTATTTCAACATGTGAAGAAAAGAGATTAGAAACTTAAAGGCCTAGATTTGAATGTAACTCAGGGCATGGCTCTTTGCCTCATTTAGGCTACTTAAAAAGCCAAGCAAAGTACCTAAACACAGTTTCTCAATTTATCTTCAAAACAGGTATTTCTGCCCCTGCCCATTTTATGGTAGGGAATGAAATGTTCAGAATTTGCAGAGTTGATACCAAATAATTAATGAACATTATCACCAAAAAGAAAAGTATCTTTCATATTGATAGGCAAATGCTTCTGCAAATATACAATAAAGCTGCAAAAATCTCTGCAAAATGAAGCATTTGTCCCTTCCCTGAAAAGTCTCAGTGTTGCCAGCTGAAACTCTATCTTCATTAGATACTTGTATACTACTCCTGGGAGGCCTAAAATATGAAAGTAAGGAAATACATTGGGACATACAATAGAAAGCATTTACTTTGTGTAAAAATGAATACCTGAGAGAAAGAGTGAATCAATCCTCAATCAGTTTCAACAAAATCGAGCTCTTTCCCTCATACAGCTATTTTTGAAACAGTTTAGTAGGAGAATACAATCTATATGTCCTCTAATTCAAGTACATTGCTCCTTTCTTACAGTATGCTACCTCTAACAAACAATATGAGGAAACCTGGATTTCTACCAAAAATAGAAAACATATACTCAATACTGACATCTCCAGGATCTTATGAATCTAAGATAACCAGAGGAGAGAACTCAGGCTTCTCAAAAAATTCCCTATGAGGACAGTGCTCGCCTTCAGCTTACACACATAGCATTTCAAGAATGAAATCAGAGCCAGGTGCCCAGTGGTTCATGCCTGAAAGCCTAGCTACGCTGGAGACTGAGATCTGAGGATCATGGTTCAAAGCCAACCTGGGCAAGGAAGTCCATGAGGCTCTTATCTCCAATAAACCACTCAGAAAACTGGAAGTGGAGCTGTGGCTCAAGTGGTAGAGTGCTCTCCTTGAGATGAAGAGGTGAGGGACAGCACCCAGGCTCAGAGTTCAAGACCCACGACTGACAAAAAAAAAAAAAAGTAAAGAAAAAAAGAATGAAATCATTCTAATCCAATTGATCTTGTTAATCCTACCCCAGCCTTACATGAATTAGAAACAATATGTAATTTTCTGAGATTGTGTGAACTTATTATATGCACTGTTCTTACCTTGTGCAAGTAAACACTTGAATCAAGATAATTATTTACAATGTCTTACATTTATCTTGAGTCAGATACATTATATCCTTAACGAGGCAAATGAGTTTCTGCTTATCACTTTGGGTTTCAAATAACACTTGAAGACATCTGTCGCAATACAATTAAAATAAAATCTAATCTAGTTTTTATCTATACCCATTTTATATGAATGAAAACATCATTAATATGCACAAACAGAAAGAACATCTCTCCCCAGCACAAACTAACACATGAATAAATGTGCTGGAAATAAATTACCATTCAAAAATTCTAATCTAGCTTAGTAAAGAAATTAAGTGCTATGTTTAAAGTGAAAAATTCACAAAATCATGTTAGGAACAGCAATAAAAACAGACTATAAATAAAATCAGAAGCAAAAAGTACTACTAGACTTATTTAGTCATAGTAAAGATGATGTCTCTTCCATTCTATAGCATAGCATCTGAGGATAGAGGTATGAAACTAGAGAAGAGCTATTTTATATCACCATAAATAAATTATCAAGATGTTGGCTCTTGCTTAAACAGAGGTAGTCCAACAATCCACTAATCCCCTGCAAAGATTCTTCTGATACACATATTTGAG